CCCGTGACATCATCAATGACCCCTCACCCCCCCACCATGGACTGTTCTCTGGGAAGAGGCTTCACAGCATTCAATGCAGGACCAGCAGGTTGTGCATTTGAATTCTGCCAATGATAATCTTGATACGTGTTTGTTATCTAAATTACAAGGAAAAGTAAGTCATTGAAGAGGAGGCGCAGTAGACCAGGGTTCATCTCCTGTTTCCGAAAATCATCAAACTGCTAGAGAAACTTTTCTACAATTAAAACTGGTGATAAAAATGAATAATATTCAATAAGATCTATAGCTCTGGAAACAAAATAGGCTAAATAGACACCACAGAAGCTACTTTTTCAAAAAGCGTCCAACTTTACCCACATTCACCCAAGCAATCATCAAGAAGCAAACATAATGTTCTAATAATTCGTGATGAAATGAAATTTTAAATCACGTAACATAGCCTACCTGCCTTTAGGTGGAACTGGAGACTGGAAGAACTCCTGCTGTAAACCAATTAAACAAGGTGCAAACAGCTTTAGTCTGGTTGGGTTTTCCTTTGGGAATCTTCATAAAAATATATTTTCCCTAAAGCAAACCCGGTGTCTTTATAGTTGCATCCATGTTTAAGATGTTCTCCAGGGTCAGACCTCATTAATGATCACACACAACCCTTCACTTCTGAAAAAGTTCATCAACAAACTTCCTTCTTTGCTGGAATCCTTTTCCAAAACCAACAGCTTTGCTTTCTTTAGTGATCAGCTGGATCCACCGACTTTCTTCTTCTTCTTCTTGTTTTACTTGCGTCTTGCAACCAAATGGAGCATTATCGCCACCTACTTGATCTTATTTATGTTTCCTTAAATCCTTAGGTTTAGTCCAGTTTGTTGAAGATAAGATGACATGATTTTAAGTACTGTCTTTCTGGATTTATTTGAGAAGATATTTTTAATGTCCAGTTGTTTGATTCCTTCATGTTCCAGTCCTTTCCTTAAATCTATTCTTTGACTTGCATATTTAATACACTCAAACAGCACATGTTCTACTGTTTCTGGTTGACTACACATGTCACATTTTCCTGTTGGATGCTTCCCAATAACATGCAGTGACGCATTTAGCCTCGTGTGGCCTAGCCTAATTCTACTAAACATCCCCGGTTCTCTCCTGCTCTTCCCCAGAGGCTCTTCTTCTTCCACTTTTTGCTGTATCTTATATAAATGTCTTCCTTTATTTCCATTATCCCATAATTTTTGCCACTGTACCTTAATTTTGCTTCGTATGTACGATTTGATTTCTGTTTTGCTAATTGGTACTTTTACTTCTACCTCATTTATCGTCAACCCCTTCTTAGCTAACGAATCTGCCATCTCATTCCCTTTAATGCCACTATGTGCTGGAAGTTCAAAAAACTCAAAAAAATGCCAAAGTAGTTTTCAGGAGGAGGTTTTCAACTCGCTCAAAAATGAAAAGCACAGTTTTCTGGTTTCAAAAAGAGTTTTTTTAAACCTAAACAAAAATAATCTTCAAGTTGACTTACAAACAATTTAATTGTAAACGTTAATTGATGGTTTCACTACTCACTCCTTCACCAAACAATCATATCAACCACAGCAGCTGCTACTGCTTGTTCATCACAGCAGGAGGGTCAAATAGAATAAAGACATAAATAACAATTGATCTTTCACATAACCTTAGATGTGTAACATTAATGATTTAGCAAAAAGGAAATTGATCTAATTCTTAAGTGGTGCTAACAGCGCGTGACGTACAATTTGATCATTTCAGTACGCTGTGGTCAGAAAATTACATTTCTCTGGTTTCATATATTTAGTTATGCAATTTATCCAGTGAAAGATTTTTTTTTCTCAGTCTGTTTCAACTGCAAGGCTAAAAAAAGTCTGAAAGAAAGTTGTTTTGCATACAAGGAATACTTATTTCATAACAAGCCAAGTTCTTGTTCAAATCACTTTTTTTACAGTGTTCAACAACACATTTCAAAGCACTCTGCAAAGACAATTATGACGTCATACAGACAGATCGGTCAAAAGGTATTCTATAAAAGCATAGAATTGTTTACTCTGCAGCAATCTCTCACAACAAGCATAGAATCAACACCCTGGTACTCAATAATTTATCTGATTTTGTGCAATATTAGTGTCCGTAATTTTTTTATTGGTAATCGATTAGATATAGGTTTTCATTCAGCATCAGTTTGTCCAATATGTTGAAATTGATAAATATCATTTATTACGTAGGATTGAGTTTTTTGTGGATTAAAATACACTAAATGAGATGTTTTTCCAGCAGACAGGATCGGCCTCTTTTAAAAGTGAAACTCTGCTGTTACTTTTAGTGATAATAAGTTATTTCAAGGCAATTCTTTTGATTCATTTTTTTTTTTTTAAGTTTGAGTCTGAGAAATATGGAGGCTGGGCAGGGTCAACTTTAAATATCAAGCATGGATTCAATGCCTGTTCTCAAGTATTAGAAGGATTATTTTACATCTGGTTGCATCTTAAATCTTATTTCTTAAATTTATTAGTTCTGTTAGGTATACAATATATTGCTTCTGAGATTATATCAACAGTCATAAGGAAATTAAAAAAGCGATAACAGTAAATAGCAGCTTTAAGGACAGTAGAGTTTGTTATCTTTTTTTTTTTAAATCATATGGTTCTCACAGGACATTTTGTGAGTGTGGATGTTGTGCTGCAACCATATTCGCTTTCTGTTTTTCCTCATTGCTAATTAGGCCCATTCTTCTTCTCTCCATAATAAACACTATCAGAATGACCCAGTGAGACCTCCTGCTGCTCCACCTGTAGTCAAGGTGGGTGGGCTATGCGCAGCAAAAAAATAAAAAATGCATTTTATGCCCATTTGGTTTGACAAAATGGCCGTTTGGGAATCTTTCAGAACACTGACATTTCACCTCTGGTTTCTAAAGTTGCTCCTTTTCTGCTGATGGGTTGGGAGCACATATGTTCACCTGCCTGCAAACACATTTAGAGTGAGTTTACGTTGATGACTTAGTCTGAAGGGCTTCATGTTTTCATAGAGCTTTTCTCATGAAACATGCAAAAAAGGAGGAACATTTCAACATGACCAGCAGCCTGCTATGCTGAAAAAACACTGAACGATCCTTGATTATACAAATTGACCTCTGGAAATTAATAATAAAATGGAATCAGAATTGGAATTATTTAAAGCCCAATCGAACAATAGAATTTGTTTACTTATATTTCCTAATCTGAATAGAATCAGAGGTCTTCTACATTTTCCAGGCCAAGGACCCCAGACTGATGGCGATGGAGCAGGGACCCCCTAATTATATATATTGTAATAAATTGTGTTCTATCAAACTGGTCCTATAGTCACTCTATTACAGATGGAGTAATGTAACTAAAGTAATCCCTCCCTGGGATTATTAAAGTATTCCTGCTTCCTGGTTGATGGGACAGGTGTTGTGAATGAAACGGTGCCCAGCTTGAAAGAGCTCCTGTGTGTCGCTGAATGTGAGCATTGATGACTGAAAGACATCTTCTGCCTCCATTTATCTGTTTACTACAGTCTGTTGGATTCATGTTAATGTGGATTTAAAGACATTTCAATTAGTGGAAAAAACTGCAGGAGGGAATATAAAAAACTAAAGTCTTATCAACCAAAACTTTTGCAACCCCCATGCAGTACCTCTGTGGACCCCTAGGGGGTCATGGACCCCTCTGTCAAAGACCTCTGGATAAAACTGTTTTAATTTAGCAGTAAGAGGAAAATTAATTAAAATCAAAATCCTTCTGCTTTCGTTCTGACATTTGCAGACTTAATTTGGATTTGAATTTACGCTGGTGAAGATTATCATACATTCCAAAAAGAGTTATTAAACAATCCACTGGACTTTGTTTTCAGGTTTGAAGACGTTTCGCTTCCCATCCAGAAAGCTTTTTCAATTCAATATGTCAGAAAAAGTTTTGAGTTTGAGACTTTATAGAGTGGACCAAAAACAAAACCATGTTTTCTAAGCCAAAACAAGCTTTTGTTTTTGGTCCGCTGTATAAAGCCTCAAATTCAACACTTTTTCTGACATTTTTCTTTCTGTTTGAATCTTTTTTGTATTAGTAGCTGTAGTGGGGAAAAAGTATTCAGCTATTCACCCCAGTTAAATAAACAGAGATCGATGGATTTCACTCAGTCGGTGCTTTATTTTGATCTTTGCAAAGAGAGAACAGTTCATCATACGGCCGGTTTGCTTGGTAATCAGCCCTGTTCTGATCCCTTACTAATAACGAGGAAAAAGCCGTGAACGTTGTCTCAAAACACACATTACACACTATTAAGTTAAACTATAACAATTCTTGAGAAAGAATTTGGTTTGTCATGGAATAAATATTCCTTGTATGTAAAACACTTTTTCACTCAGACATTTATGGCTTTGCATGTGAAACAGACTGAGTAAAAACATTTTTCACTGGATAAATAGCACAACTAAATATATGAAACAAGAGAAATCTAAATTATAACAAACATCACAATTATTTTATATGATCATCGTTAGGATCTCAGGCACTTTTTCAGGTTTTTTAATTAGTTGATATGTTTAGGCCTGTCAGGAGCTCCTCAATCCTTTCCTGTAATTCTGGGTTTATGCTTCTTTTTAAGATCTTCTTCAGGTGAGTGATGCTCAACCGTCGATAAATGGATTCTTCTGGAATCTTTACTGCCATCATGAGGTATTCAGCAGACCTGAATGATTCATTCTTACCGAAGTATAAAAGGTTTGCATAATATTTGTAAAGCATCTGTTTTTCTACCGGATCCAGATCTTCTCTCTCCAGAAGCTCTGTGTAAATCTGCTCAGCTTTCTCTATGTCTACCTTTCTATAGACGTCAGCTAGAGATATTTTTTCTTTCAGGGAACATTCAGGGTAAGCATCAATCACTTCTTTCCACAGACTGATTGCTTTGTTGATAATTCTGGGATCAGGATTGCCTTCCTGTGAAAAGATCTTCTTAGTGTAGCATTTTGCAGCAGTTCTCTTTACAAAACGTGAATCAGGATGTCTCATCAATGCCTCATCGGCTATTTCAACGGCTTCGTCTACAGATAAGTACTTTCTATACAGCTTGATTAGCAGGTTGATCCCACAGTAGTTGTGCATCGGCTTTTCTAGAATCTTTCCAGCTAAATATTTTGCTTCATCCCGAATTTGTTTTTCCTTTGCACCTTGTGCATTCAGATAAAGAGCAGCAACATATAAGTTGTCTGGATCTCGTTCTGTGGCAGATTTCACTTTTTCCAGAACTTCAGGTGTCATGTCCTCCATGAAAGGTTTGAAGGAATCTGCTGATAATATTGCCCAGCTGCTCTGCCATTCCACGTTGTTTGGCTCCATCCTCACGGCTTTCTGGAAGAGCTCTGCAGCCTG